TAAATCTTATTAAACTTATTACTGTAAGCGAGTGACGAACATAAATCAACGAAGATTTATGACAAGACAAACTGCTGCTAATTTATTTTTAGACAAGATGATACACGTATTTACATTACATATGGCGTTCATGGCAAGCAACACTCTATAGTTAATATAAATTGTCACTTATGGATCTTATTTTCTGTCATGCTGGCAGCTTGTCTATGTGCTCGCATAGTGGTATATAAGTGTGACGAAATTAGCTGTTTGAATTTTTTTTAAAACTTTTTTTAAACTCAGAATTGTGAAAAAATTAACGACATTTTTTGCTAATTCTATTACACTATATGCAACTACACGCAAGGAATTTTGGACCGATGAGAACTCGTGCGTTTTGTGATTGCTACATTTTAAATACCCTCAAGTCACGGCAGTACCGACTTTGACACGTCTTGGTCCGAAATACGTACTGTTCCATCTCAAAATAAAAACAGACTGTAAGAAAGCAATCATCAACATCACTCGCGTCAAAGCCAGTACAACCACCGTTTAATGTGTAGGCAAGCTGTGTAGTGTCAATAGTGGGGACGCTGAGGTTTGAAGTTCGGCACGTCAAGGGCCAAACCTTAGGCTAGCGAGAGACAAGTATAGCTTGAACTTTCTATCATCAAATGTTGACTACAGTGAAGCCGAAGAGTAAATTATACCCATACTTTTTTGTTATTTACAATATCATGCAGTACTATGCAAAAGAATTAAAGTACAAAAAATAACTTTAGTTTATTTAGAGTAATATAAAACCTTAAATTTTTCGGCTCAAGCTGCTGTGTTGACATTGATATTAGTATATTTACAAGTAAAAAAAATCATACTGAATGAATACTGATCACATTACAGCCACGCACTTACAAAGTTTTATCTTTACTTTCATGCATTGCTCTTTCATATATTCAATACGTATACACACGCGCGCGGCCATATATATAATATATTCTTCAGAGCTTTTCGTTGCAGTGCGAGTATCGTGCTATTATATATATATGTATACACATTAACAACTAACACAAAGGTATATACACTACTAGCAGCCCCCCGTCTCGGCTTCGCCCGAGACTTACTAAATAAAACACCGTAGTGTGTTGACATGCAATGTGAAACATTTTAAGCTAGAAATTTTACACATATTCCTGATACATTTCAAAACAAAAATCTTCTTATTGAAAACATACTTTTTTGGAATCCGTATAGTTTATTTGGTCAAATAATAAGGTGTAAAAATTAAACAAAATAATTATGCTGAAAATTACCGTGCGTTCTTTATGCCATAAAATAATCGGTGGCCAAAAAAAGCCGTTGATTTACAGTTTCTCTAGTGTAATTTAAGAAAACGGCTATTTTTTAAAGCTGTTAAGATTTTAAACCCCCAAAAAATTTATGTTAAAAAAAAATTTTTTTTCTCATATCTCACAACTTCATTACCAGAGCAACAAAGCCTTGGACCTTGAACCCTACATTTTTATTGCCACAAAAAACCAAATACATTTTCTACTTATTTAAAAATCTGAAGTAGGATCTTTAAAGATTTCAGAGATTGCTGTGAGGGTACAATGAAAAGCTGATCTCTCACGTAATGGACTCTTTAGTTGTCGATTTTGACGCTGCTGTTCCAATCTCGATAAATTTTCTGCGTCAGTTTCTTGACGCCTAAGTAAAATTGTATTTATTAGATACACTTGAAGTTTTTCTTCCAATTCACCCTCTTGCGACTTTTGGCATGCTTAAAATTTGTGTGATCCATAAAGGCTGTTTTCTGTCAACTTTGTTAAGTTCTAATATATTTGTTGGCAAGGTAGTTCGACGTCCGATGGCCCTAAAAAAGACCGGTGAGCTTTTTAAGTTAACTCTTTCTTGACTGCAGTTAACAGCAATTGTGACTGCCTGGATACCTCAGGGTGATCTTCTCTGGCTTGCTGTTGAAGACCCAGACTGATTGGGAGAAAAATTACAAAGTCCGAAGCTTTGGGGCTAGTTGTAGTGCTCTTTCCCAACGTCTCCCGGTATAACGTCGAAGATGTTGGTGTCTAAAGCACCTTTTTTATTTGCAGATTCAGTTCATTTTGGTGATCTTAGATGGGGAGATTGGTTAGTGATACTTGTCCAGTGGAGGCTGTCCCGTTGGCTCAAGTTTTTTTTCCTTCATAGCTGTTATAGGTTTGCCCAACGCAGACCTCGGAGAGGATCAGTGATTCCTGGTTGAATGCTTAGAGTCGAGAGGGTAGTATAGGGTCGTCGGTCACCGGGTTTTCCAGCCTTGCGAAGAACAACTCCGCAGGTGACGTCTGCTAGTGAATGGCTGACTTGGTTTAATAGTGCCCGTCTTTAGTTAATATAGTCTTTTAGTCGACGAATCGCTTCCGGAAATGGTAATAAAAATGTAGTTGTTGGCAAGGTAGTTTACACTTAGGTGGATCCTAAAAAGAACCGATTAAATTGATGGTTAAGTAGGGAACGTAAATATTTATAATCTCGCTAAAAAGCGCCAGTGGTGAAACTTCCAGGCTATTCTTATTCCTGATGATGAAGAGCTGGCTACGGTTGCTTGATTCTTACCCTGGGAGTCTCGATGTACGAAGACTGTGATGGAGGAAGGTACGCTGCTGACCAAAGAATATCTCGTCTCGGGTGGTTCCCCGGATAACCAACCGCTCATCGTTAGACGGGAACATATGGGTAAGCGCGTTGGGGACGCGACGACCAAGAAGGTAGCCGTTGTGGCTGCCCGTGCCCCTCAGAGCTGTTGTCCCTTGCTTACATTTGTAGCCACAAATTCTCTAAGTGCACCAGGTGGGATGGTGGGACTACTATGAAGAGTTGGTGCAGATTGTGCTCTGGCTAGATATGTCTCCGGGTATTGAGGCAGAGACGGCATCGGTTGGAATTAATTTTTTTATTTGATCGCACTCGTCGAGAATCAGGGTGAATGGACACCTAGGTCCCTTTTCCCTTAGAGGAGAGTGTAGTCCGTAACCGGGATACCCAGCTGCAAGACTATCATCAGCATTCTCTATACAGCTCGTTGAAATGCCGAAGCTCAACTACAACAGTACGGAGACGCTCCAGCCTATTGTAACAACACTTATTTAATTATGTTGCAGGTAGCTTTGATTTTATGTCGACGCCACCTAGCGGACTTTACTGAACTAAAGTGAAAAGCTGACGTATTTTTGCAAAACTTTGAGCTCATTTATTGCTATTGTTATTAAATTTCTTAAGATGAAAACTGTACTAAAACCATCTAGGAAGTATCATGAATCAGTGTGCAAAATTTCAACAAAATCGGTTCAGTAGTTTTCGCGGTTAGCGATTACAACGGTTTTAGCGCTTCTGCTTTATATATTAGTAAGATACTCTTCGGCTTTACTATAGCCAACATTTGACGCTAGAGAGTTCAAGCTGTACTTGCCTCTCTCTAGCCCAAGGTTTGGCCCCTGACATGCCGTACTCTAAGCCTCGACGTCCCCACTCTTGTCACTGCACAGCTCGCCTATGCATTGAATGGTGGTTGTAGTCAGGTGAAATCAGCTGATTCGTGACCCGAAAAAACATGAAGTAGTGAACTTCACTTTTAAAATTTTTTTGTTAGATAATAACGATACAAATAACATTTTAAATTTAAACGCCAATCTCAATAGGGCAAAATGGTTTTAAAAAATGGTAAAAATCGTCAAATTTACTGTTTTGCTATTCACAGAAAAGCTTTGCATTTAACAAATAAAGTCTAATAAAATAAAAAATGCGTATTAAAATTACAAATATAATGGGTTTTTTTGAGCTCCGATCGGTCCAGTTATTTTTGAGTAAGTTGCAAAAAACCATTCTTTTGTGAAATTTTTCAAAATTCAGAAACGAAGAATAATTATATTATAAGACTTAGTAAATATATTATTATATCATTATTATAACTGCCTTTTTCGTTTTAAGAAGAAAGAAAACAAAAAAAAAAAATTTTAGTCAAAATATTGCGAAATTTTTCCTATAGTCGTATTTCGAGCTTGGCGGCCCCCCACCACTGGACCCTGGAAGCTCCCTTTTTTTGAAATCAATTTTTTCACACTTCGGCTAGGTCAAATGGTACGGTACTGCAGAATGTTGTAGAGCAACTTTAATAAACAAAAACACGTTTGAAAAATTGGTCTACGTTGGCCCAAAACTTTTTTTATGGACATTTTTCGGAAGGACCTTTTTCAGTTTTTTCAAAGTCTCTTATAAAGTATCATATCGATCTTGCTAAAATTTTGTATGGGTATTAAGGTCTATAAAACACATATTCTGTCAAAGATTTAAGTCTTTATATGCAAGAGAACAAAAGTTATAGAATTTCGAAAAAATGTCACTAAAAAGTGATTTTTTGCAATTTACTACAAAATACTGCACCGGTCGGAGCTCAAAAAAGCTTATTATATTCATATTTTTTATACAAATTTTTTATTTTATTACACTATATTTGTCAATTGCATAGTTTATCCGTTCACCCTAAAAAAATGACTTACGCGATTTTTACCATTTTTTCAACCATCTTGCCCTATTGGTTCTGGTGTTGAAACTTAACATTATTTGTATTGTTATTATCTAACAAAAAAAATGTTTAAGTGAAGTTTGCAATTTCGTGTACCGAACTTACTAACTTTACCCGATTATTGTACCAACTTTGACACGAGCACTGCTGATGTTTACTTTCTTACAGTCTGTCTTTGTTTTGAAATGGAACAGTACGTATTTTAAACCAAGACGTGTCGAAGTCGGTACTCCAGTGATTCGAAGGTATTTGAAATCTAGCAGTCACAAAACGCACAAGCTCTAACCGTTCAAAAATTTCTTGCGTGTGGCTCTTTCCCACTTAAGTACTTTATAGCTTCACATGCATGTATTAGCTGTCCGTAGCCATAGCTTTTTCAGGTAGTGATAGCGGTAATGGAAAAATTATACCTTTTAATGTCCTAGATGTAGTTAATAATTACCTTCTCATCATAATCAAGTCCAAGCTGGCGGTACATCGAAGGTAGCGTGCGTTCATCAGGACGAGATAATACTCTTAAAGAGATATTTACCATCTGTAAATCTTTAGACCCAGTAGGCGAAGAAATTTTTCTTGGTCTACTTCGGATGTCATAGATGATTGGATAATGGAACCATGGAATACGAAAATGCAATCCTTCTGGCATGATGTCTTCTTGTACGCCACCTAACCGGGAAAATATGATAGCTCTGTGACCACCGTCAACTAAAAAAGAAATTAAGATACATTGAGTTGTTAAAAATTTTTTTTATAGAATAATACAAATCACAATATGAAACGGAAAAACATAAGAGATGTGACATAGATTAAAACCTTCCATTATTAACGGATTACGTGGATTTTATATCAAGTTGCATTATTTTAGTCACCAATTTCAATTTAAAACATCCGTAGGAATAACTGTATTTGAATTTTTCACAATAGATTATTAAATGGGTAGGCTGGAGAAGTGCTAGATTAAAAAAAAAAAAAAAAAAAAAATAAAAATCGTCAAATTTACTGTTTTGCTATTCACAGAAAAGCTTTGCATTTAACAAATAAAGTCTAATAAAATAAAAAATGCGTATTAAAATTACAAATATAATGGGTTTTTTTGAGCTCCGATCGGTCCAGTTATTTTTGAGTAAGTTGCAAAAAACCATTCTTTTGTGAAATTTTTCAAAATTCAGAAACGAAGAATAATTATATTATAAGACTTAGTAAATATATTATTATATCATTATTATAACTGCCTTTTTCGTTTTAAGAAGAAAGAAAACAAAAAAAAAAAATTTTAGTCAAAATATTGCGAAATTTTTCCTATAG